GTCTTTAAATGGAAAAGGATGAGTGGATCTAGAGGAGCGGGAAAGTTGGGGGGGGGCGACTGGAAGGAATAGAGGAAGCGAAACTGTGATCAGGCTGTAATGTATATAAAGAGTTTTTTAAAAACAATAAAAAGAATGTCTTCTCTGCTGTCAGGCGATTTCACTGTGGCTTCTGCTTGGGCTGATGACAAGCATGTCGGGATTGTATTGGCAGAAGCATTTCTTTCCCTGCCGTAGTCGGAACATTCTAGATGGCATTTGTTGGGAGCTTGCTCTGCCTGTGATTCCGACCCTGCTTCTCATGCTCCCTCGAGACTCTGGAGCTTCCTCAGTTGCCGGCTGGTTGAATTCAGGTTTGCTTATGAAAACAAAGCAGCAAGAACAGTTGGTGTTGCTCACACGGGTGCAGAGGTTTGGAAAGGCAGTCCCACTCCAGTGCTTGGGCGGCGGGTAATAATAGGTGGGAGCATCCTGGGGTTGGCTACAAGGTTGCTTAGAATAAACACTTTGGCCGGTATAACCTTTAGGAAGGCAAGCCGGCCGCCGGGAATGGTCAGGTGGCATGCTCTGAAGGTCTTGAACGCGTTTGCCTGCCTCGGAAGACTGGTGGAGAAGCCCTAGCCCCAACCCCTTCTCCCTGCATGGCCCTGATGCCTGCAGCCCCTGCTATGGTCAGCAGTCAGCTGTACTTTACGTTCAGCTTTCAGCCACTTCTCCTTTTCAGGTGCCTACGAGTAATATTACAAAAGCCAGACACCTTTCATCACCAAGGCAACCACGCTTACCACGTGACTATCAGGGAAGGAAAAACACAACTAATCCTCTCAACCTCTTGACAAATATGCAAAGTATTCCAGGCCAGGCCCTGCCCTAGACGATGTAGGAGGCTTGCTGGGAGAATCAAGTTAGACCCGCATCTTCCAGCTACGGCTGTGCTCCCCCTGACCGCTGCTTCACATTTGTAGCTCTAAAACTGTGAAAGAGTTCTCTTTGCCAGTCCTGGCTGGCATCTGGCTTCACCTTGCTGGGTCTTGGCTGTGTTTCTTGATGCCGCTCAAGTCCTTCCTGGCAGTTTTGTGGATTGGATCTTCGGTGGTCATCTTACAGGTTCTGACAGATGGCAGATCGTGTTGGAGTTTTCCCCTCTCCTTTTATTTTAGGATATCTAGGTTGAAGGTGTATGGACTGGGCTTAGCACACACACACACACACACACACACACACACACACACACACTACAAAGGGGAGGGGATGTTTTAAACCCCCCTCAGAAAGAATTTGAAAATGAATCAGGACAATCATCTTAAAGTGAGCCTCAGGAAGAGGAACTTGGAATACGGGGAATCCTTCCTAAGGTCTGCAACGGCCCTGGAATCGGAGCAGTTTCTAAGCGTCGTCTCCTTCACCTGTAAAGTGCCCACCGTGCCCTCCTGTGGGGCTCCAGTGAGGCTCCGGCACACGTGATGAAGGCAGGGCATGCTGCAAATGCAGTTGGAGGGTTAGGGTTCAGCTTTCCTGTGTACAGAGTGAGCCAAAGATGGAGGGTGGGTCGCCTTTGCTGGGGGAGGGGAATTGACCTTTGCTGAGCTGCTGTTGGAGGTGAGAGGAAGTTATGCTCATTTGGACAAAACCATCATTTCCTTAAAGTCTAGGCCCTAGGCTTTTAAGTAGGTCACTGAAAAAAAAAAAAAGGAAGTTAGTTCTTCATTTGCGAGATGGCCTGTGGGTGACTCTCTGGAGGCTGGGTATTTGGAATTGGTTGTCCCATAATGCACCTGCAATGAATTGGGCTCCCAGTTCACCAGAGATCAGGTTTCCAGATGAAACATGAATGCCAAGGAGATCCCCCTTTCTGAAGTTTGCAGTCTAAGTCTGGTACCCCATTGTTTGCCATATCTTGAAGTAGCTTGCAAAGGGCCATGTAGAACACTTGAGGGATGTTTGAAATATTCTTTTCTGATGGCTAAGTCACATGTTAATGCTTCCTGGCCAGGTTTTCATTATTTCAAATTGTGACAAAGTGCAGAATTGAGCAATTTCTTAATGAACCAGGGGATTGAACCCAAGGCATCTCATAATGCCAGGCAAGTATTCCACCATTGACTACATTCCCAGACTAAAATGTACCATTTTAACCACCTCAAGTGTGCAGCTGTGTATCCATTCACATCCATCTCCAGAAACTTTTCATTTTTTCCAGGTTAAACCAGAGTTTAGTGCTCGTCAGGCATTGCTTCCCTGTTCTGCCTATTCCCAGCCCCCTCAACCACCATTCTGCTTTCTATCTCAATGAATTTCCCAGCTCTGGGTCCCTCATGTGAATGGAATCATAATTTAGTGTTTGTCATTTGTAGCTTTTTTGAAAATCCTCTTTTTCTTCTTGAAACAGAATTTTGTATGTTCTTTTTCTCCCTGTCAGGCTTTATTCCTTTCTATAAGCGTAAATTAAAAAAAAAAAAAAACGTTTGTTGGTGTTTTGCCTGCATGTGTATCTGTGTACCATGTGCGTGCAATTCCTGTGGAGGCAGAAGAGGGTGCTGAATCTCCTGGAACTGGAGTTATAGATGGTTGTGAGCCACCATATGGATGCTGGGAATTGAACCAGGATTCTCGGGAAGAGCAGCCAGTGCGCTTAACTGCTGTGCCGTCTGATATTTATATGTAAATTTGTACAATAACTTAACTGTCCTTACTGAAGGAAAATATGACATTGGAACTAATTTTGATATAATTCTTTTCTTTATTTTGAGGTGGGGTCTTGCTTTTTTTGAGGAGAGATTTGAGTATTATTCTGTCTTTTTCTTATTGGAAATAATTTTTTCATGCTATATATTCTGATAAAGGTTTCCCTTCCCCCAACTTCTCCCAGATCTTCCTACCCACCCAACTCCTTGCCTTCTTTCTCTCTTTAGAAAACAAACAGGCAAATAAAACAAACATACCAGACTTTTTTTTTTGTTTCATTTCTTTTGTTTTTCAAGACAGGGTCTCTCTTTGTGGATAAGGCTGGTTTTGAACTCAAGAGATCCACCTGCCTCTGCCTCCCAAATGCTGGCATTAGAGGAGTGTACCACCACTGACTGGCTTAACATATCAGAATTTTTAAAAAAAGAAAAGAAAAAGAAACACAGAAAGCAAAATCCATAGACACACAAAATCCAAAATCATAATATACAAGCAAAAGATCAATAAGGTTAAAAATGTCTGAACAAAGCAATATGAGACAAAAAAAATCTGCAAATGTATTGAATTCATTTGATTTGGCTATCTACTGCTGGGCCTGCCCTTAAGTGTGGTTTGTCTACCCATGGAAACTCCATTGCAGAAAATTAATTTTCATTTGCCAGTGTTTGTCAGCTGGAGGCTTTTGGGTTAGGGATGGGGGCACGTGTCCACTTCTCCCTTTCATCCGTGGGAGCCATCTGGCTTGAACCTCTGCATGCCCTGTGCACGCTGCTACAGTCCCTGTGGCTCATATGTGCCCCAGTCCCATTGTGTCTAGAAAGTCTACCGTCCTTGGTGTCCTCCATTCCCTCTGGCTCCTACAGTCTCTCCACTTCCTCTTCCACCGAATTCCCTGAGCCCAGGGTGGGGGGTGGGGGTGGAGAGGGATTTGATGGCGATATCCCACTTAAGACTTAATGTCCCAAGGTCTCTCACTCTCTGCATATTGTCCAGTTGTGGGTCTCTGTTAGTCCCTGTCTTTTTTATTTTCTGAGATAGGGTCTCATTATGTAGCCCTGGTAGCCTCAAACTCACAGAGATCTGTCTACCTTTGCCTCCCAGCTTCTGGGATTAAAGGCATGCGCCACCACACCTGACTAAGGTAGTGTTGTTAAAACGTTTAGGTTTATCCAGTAAGGAGACACAGACCGCGACTCAACGATCCCACGTGGAGTTTATTGGTGGACGGGGAGGGAAAAGGGGAGCAGAGAGAGAGAGATGAGAGAGAGAGAGAGAGAGAGAGAGAGAGAGAGAGAGAGAGAGAGAGAGAGAGAGAGAGAGAGAGAGAGAGAGAGAGAGAGTAAGAGCAAGAGCAAAAGAGTAAGAGAGAGTAAGAGAGGAAGAGGAGTAAGAGAGAGTAAACGGGCAGGGGTCAGTCCCTTAAAGGGGTCCTTTGCACCTGCCTGGTTCTCACGGAACTCTGGGCTGGCCAGAGTGTTGCCTGAGCGCATCCTGCCAAGTAACAGGGCAGGCCAGAGTAATGCCTGAACCTTTCATTCCCACCTTTATTTATGATTAAAAAGAGATGGGGGTGTTAGACGTGGCAGGTTCGGGATCAAGGACGTTGAGTTCTTAAGACTGCTTCCTGCTGACCTTGGGGCGTCGATCATCTTTGGGGGAACCTGAGAAAGTTGGGGTGTTGCCATGCTGGTTGTTCTATTGTAGTCCAGGGCGTATGGGACTCTCTGTAGTCCAGGCTGTAAGGGACTGTCTGGCGCCTCTGTAGATCTGGCAAGATGTTAGCAGAGTAGAGAACAAAGTTAGGTTTAAAATTTTCTTTTTTAGGTCCTGGCATTTGTAGGGAAGATTGTAAGATGAGGGAGGGGTTCCCGAGGGGTCCCAAGATGAGGGAAGGGAGTTCCAGGACCAGGGAGAGGTTGAATAATATTTGGAGTGAATCTGACCTGTTTGGATGGGTTCAATTTGGCTTTCTGGAACTGACAAGAATCCTTTGAGTTTGTGAAAACATAAGTATTAGACATACCCTTGTCTAGCATATGGACCAAAAAAAAAAAGTTCAGGGCTAGGCTAGGGATATAGCTTGAGGTAAGAACACTTGCCTGTTCGATGGCATGGTTCCATCCCTTGCACTACAAAACCGAATAAATAAAAGCAAAGTTCTGTATTGTTCCCCACCCGCTCACTCCTCATTGAGACAGTGTAGAAGAGCGTTCGTGTGAGAGCTGAGAGCAGCAGAGAGGAAATCACTGGTGACGTCAGGAGCCCCTTGGAGCTGCTTCCATGCAAAGGTAACCTCTCATCTTTTCCTCCTCTAGATGGTACACCTTGAAGTCCAAACCAGGAAAGAAGGACAAAGAGCGGGGAGAGATTGAGGTCGACATCCAGTTCATGAGAAACAACATGACCGCCAGCATGTTTGACCTCTCCATGAAAGATAAGTCTCGGAATCCATTTGGAAAACTGAAAGACAAGATCAAAGGGAAGAATAAGGATGGCGAGTCGGACACCGCTTCAGCCATTGTCCCCAGCACGACACCCTCAGTGGACAGCGACGAGGAGTCTTTCTCAAAAGACAAGAAAAAGAAATCAAAGATCAAGACTTTGTTTTCCAAGTCGAATTTGCAGAAGACGCCGCTCTCCCAGTCCATGTCTGTCCTGCCTACTTCCAAGCTGGACAAAGTGCTGCTTCGTCCCGGCGACTTGCAGTCCCGGTGGGACGATGATGACAACGAGGATGAGTCCTCCTCCGCCTCGGATGGTGAGTTCCTGTCTGCTAACTCATCTGCTTCCCTAACCTTCGCTCTGAGAAGGAAGAGGCGGGTCTTTGGGTTTTAGTTACCACAGCGATGCTGGTGACGACGTTCAGTGAGGCTTTGTTTCTCAAGAGAATACAAATGTCTTCTCCAAGGGTTTTGGAGCTCACAGAATAAGTGGGTTTGAGGGGGTTTTGCGGCTGTTTGGTTTTTTTCACAGTCCTGGGATCTGGCCCAGGGCCTTGAGTATGCTGGGCAAATGCTCTCACACTGGCCATACCCCTAGCACCTGCTGTATGTAATAGAGTGAGACTATAGGACCGTGTTGTAATAGGCCCATGTCGTATGTCTGACACTTCATTAATTCTTCAGACGTCAGCTGAGTTTCTATCACGTGCCTAACTTCCCATGTGGTACATCCCTGGCAGAAGCTAAGTAGTCCAGTCTCCTCGACTCAAATTTTGTATTTTGAACTTCAGCTTCAGTTACTGAATCCCTTTTACTAGCCAGATTTTGTTACTCTGTGGAGAACATAGCCTTTTCCACTGGTTTAACACAGAATTGCTTAACTTCGGCATCGATGACTGTTTGGATTGATAATTCTTCTTGTGGGGAACCATCTTGTGTGCAGGAGGATGCTTAGGCAACAGTAGCACCTTCCTATCGGTTACCACGATTGAAGATGTATGCAGATGCTGATAGATTGACAGATGCCCCTGCCCATTGCAACTACTTATTATACCAACCCCACCTCTGCGCCTCCCCTCTTCCTGTCTTTGTGATGCTGAGGATGAAAATGACGGCATCGTACGTGCTAATCAAGAACTACGTCACTGAGCTTTGCCTCAGATCCCTCACTCATGTAATTTCTCTTTTTATTTGTTTGATTTTGTTCCTAGAGATTGCACCCCAGTGCCTGGAGTACGAAAGACAAACGCTTTAACTCGGAGTTGTATCCTCAGCTTCATTTTTTAATTTAGTGTGTCTGAAGGTCAGAGGCTAGCTGGTGGGCGTGGGTTCTCTTTTGACCATGTGGGGATTTAACTGAGGTCACCAGCTTTGCAGTAAACACCTCTACTCCCTGAACCATCTCTCCAGAACTTATCCCTTGTGTTGTTTATTTTCTTCCCAGTCATGTCCCACAAGCGAACACCCAGCGCAGACCATACACAACTGAACCAGACCAAGAAAGAGGGGCTGTCCTTCCTCGGGGGCCTCCGGTCCAAGACTGACTCCCTTTCGAGATCTAACTTGTGCATCAACGGGAACCATGTTTACATGGAGCAGCCAGAGGCCAAGAGTGAGATCAAGGACAGCAGCCCTTCGAATTCCCCGTCCCCGCAGGCCTTCAGGAGGAAGCATGTGTTCTCTTCCACGGAGAACCTGGCTGCCCGATCTCCTAAGGAGCCAGGGGAAGGAGGTAGCGTGACCGCTGACAGGCGACTGTCCGACTCTTCCAGCAAGGATTCTGTGAAGTCCATGTCTTTGCCGTCCTACCGACCCCTGACCAGTGGGGACAGTAGAGAGAGCATGTCTCCAGCAAACACGGAGGCTACAAAAGACAGCAAGAAGCAGGAGAACAAGAAATCCTCTTTGCTCTCTCTGGTGACAGGAAAGAAAGATGTGGCGAAAGGCGGTGAAGGCGAGCCTCTTCCCACTGTCTCAGAGAAAGAGAAGGAGAGGCAAAGCGAGGGCACGGAAACCCAGCTGAGGGAGGAAGACCTTGGCCGCAGGTCTGAGAGAGATGTTGCACCTGTTACCTCACAGTGGGGCAACTCCCTGAATCCCTTTGAAGATGTTCAGATCTCAAACCCAGAAGCAGACCTGGAGTCTAAGTCTGAGCCGAAGCCACCAGTTCCCGCTCCAAGGGCTCCCCAGACCAAAGCTGTAAAACCTCGGTAAGTCCTAGTCTTTTTCATGTGGGGCCTTTCTCTGCCACTACCTGGTATTGAGCAGTTTCCACTAGAGCAAATCTGGTCAGTTTCAGGATGTGTGTGCAAAGGTCTGCTAGTCTTAAGTCTTCTGAACCAGTCACCTCTGCTGGCCTGGCTTGCCTGGCGCTGAGGACAGAGGTGTTTCCCAGCCTAAAGCCACACACAGCTCAGCCGTGCGTGGGTGGGGGTTGTTTTTCTCAGTGAGCTAACCAGAGACTCCAGTGAAAGGAGACAGTCTGTGGCCAATTCTGAGCATATGACCTGGTTGTGTCGGGTACATGGGCAGAACCGTGTCTAAGTTTTCAGGGCGCTGCCAGTGGAGACGGTTGCCTCTCCTGGCACTTGGCGTCAGCTTACTGATGTGAGAGACCCTTGGTCTACCCTTTAGTGTACCCGTGACCATTCTGTGTTTCCTCTGTGCCTGATCACGAGAGCCTGCCTCAACCTGAAGGAGCTGCTTTTCTGAGCGACTCCCACGTTGACATTTCTCTGGTGTGGGGCGGAAAGACAAACTTTTGGAGATTGTGCACACAGGTTTTTTTTTTTTTCCCTCCAAAATCCATACTTGTTGTTGCCTTTTGTTATGCCTTTTTTATTTTCCGTTCTGAACTTTTTAGGTGCATTTTGCCCAGTCAGTGCTCGTGACTTTCAGTATATCACTGAAAGGAACTGTAGGCTGTTTCTTGCTCCCACTGAAACTTTCCATTCGCATTGCAACAAATGTGTAACAGGTGTGCTTAGTGCCCGACAGTGTGTCCTTCAGTGGGGAGAGCACACATCAGCGGTGTAGTATTTAATTAGCATGTATGAGGCCCTGGCTTTGAGTCCCCAGCACTAAAGAAACAAAAGTGATCCATTTGTATGTCAAGAATTGCTGTTCCCTTGACTTTGTAGATCCTGTCCCCAGGTGTAAAAAAAACTGTCCCTCTTTGATGACAATTTTTATGTTTCTTGTAATGCATCTGCAACTGACCTGCAGATTTTATTTTGTCCTTTTTGCAGACTGGAAGTACCTCCAAAGGCCCAGCCCAAAGCCAGGCTTCCCTTCCCTGACTCTGCTCTGGCTCCTACTCTTCCTCCTATCTTTTCTGATGTGATGGGTGACTCCGAGACACAATCCTCTGAAAGTCCTTCTGCCTCCTCCTCTTTCTCCTCTCCCCTGGCAGCTCCCATCTCCACATCTACTCCAGTTGAACACTGGCCCCCCACAGGCAGAGGGGAGGCCGATCCTGAAGAGCCGCCTCTGCTCCTCAGAGCGGACTCTCAGAGGGAGAGCTTAACACCAGCTCCAAACACTGGTTCTTCTGCCTTGGGTTCACCTTACAAACACCTTACCATCCCAGCACCGAAAGGGGCTGAAGAGTCTTCAGGGGGCGAGACCAGGGAGACAGGCGCAGGGAAGGAAGCCGGCAGGGATGAGTCAGGGCAGCCTGAAGAACTTGTGACAGTTCCTTTCCCCCAGCAACACCATGTCCCCTCACCTGAAGAGGCCCAGGAAGAACCCCCTGTGCTTTCCCTCAGCAGTGGCAGAATTGCAAACCCCGCTGAGAAGTCCCCCACAGGGGGAAACACAGACTCTGAGCATCCGTCTAGGTCTTTTGTGGAGAATGATCACAACGGTGGAGTGACTTCTACAGCCAGAGAAGCAGCGCCCCTTGTTCAAGAGGAAGAGGCAGCCTCCCTGTTTGACAGCGCAGCCCAGAAACACAAAGGGATGAATCCGAATGCCAGTGGAGGTCAAAAGAGAGTCAGGAAGCGTGTGTCCTTTTCTGAACAGCTCGTTGTAGAAGAAGAAACAGAAAAACCCACTGGGCTTGAGGAAGAGCAGCAGCTGACACGGGAAGGACCTGTTGCTGCAAGCATGCCCGATGAAGAGTCTCCAGAGTGTCCCCACACAGAAGGCACAGGAGAGGATCCTGTGACAACAGCAGCTCAGTCCATCCCTTCTGAAAGTGACAGTTTCTCTGAAGACCCCACAAGTGAAGTCAGCCCAGGAAGAGGTGGTGCCAGGCTCTGGATGGTTGAGGAGAATGATGGCCTCGTGACACGGTATCAGAGCAAGGCCAGTGATCACGAAGGCCTGCTGTCTGACCCCCTGAGTGACCTTCCTTCTGCCTCTGATGGGAAACCTCCTGTCATGGCTGATCTGAGCTTTTCTCTTCCTTCCATTCCCGAAGTGGCTTCGGACGACGAAAGAGTAGATGAATCTGGAGATGGAGGGAAGGCAGCCGAGCCAGAAGCGGGAATTCCTCCTAGGAATGTGTCGCCTTCTGGTGTGGAGAAAGCAGAGGGACCCAGTGGCAGGGCACATGGGTCAGTGCTCGTGGAGAATCTTCACGACTTCAGGCCAGAGGTTCCCGCAGTGGCTCCTTCCCAGCACACGGCAGCATCGGGAACTCCTAAGTCACACGCTGGCAAGAGCTCAAGAGTGAATAAACGGTCCCCTGGCCCTGGTAGTGTCGAGGAAGAGGAACGGAAGGGAGGTGGGAGGCCAGGTTCGCCTCTCCACACGTCCCAGGGCTCCCCGGGGCCCAGCCCCTCACCCTCTGCAACCTTTTCTGCTGCACACTCTTTGCCTGGCTCTCCACATTCCGACACTCCCCATACCAGTGTAGCAGACTCTCCAAAAAAAACAACAGAAGGCTCAGCCGCTAAAGTTGAAAATTTTGGCAAGAAGAAGCCACTTCTACAAGCCTGGGTCACGCCCTCAGAGATACATCCAGCCTCAGCTCAGCCAAATGCTGGAGTTGGGGCGGCCAAGCACAGGTGAGAGATGATGGGGAAACGTGTCTTTGTGCATGGGAAAGATGTCCTCTCTTTGCTTTCACCTGCAGAGACTATGCCTCCAAACTGAATGGATGTCCCAGTGTCAGAATTGGCCCGCTTCGCTCGCTGGCCAGGCTTGGCAGGGACTCAAGATCCAGCCGTGTCCGTAGCAAAGACATAGGAGTCTCCAAAGATAGCTTAGGAATGCTTCTACAGTGTGACAAAGCTCTAGCTATGGAAATATGGGACACTTGGGTCTCCAGAGTCTCAGAAGCCAGATGAGACCACATGGTAGAACAAAGCAATATTGAAAACTTCCTCTGAGAACTGCTCCAAGAGCAGATCGCGTGATGTGCACCCTCCCTTACTGTAGGAGCCAGAAGGTTCTGCAGAGCCCCTTAGTGGAGTCCTAGTCTGTAGCTGCCCACACAGATGAGAAACTTTCTTTCTTCCTTTCTTCTTTATTCATTTTAATAAATTGAAAACTTTTTTTTTTTTGCAGTGCTGGGGATGGAACCTGAGGCCTTGTACATCCTGAGCGAGGACTATGTCACAGAGCTATGTCCCGTCCTGAGACACTGTCTGTCCTTGTGTCTATAAGCAGACTGGGGGACTTAACGTCTGGTGGGGCCCTCCTCACCCCCCAAGCCAGGGATGAGCTTTGCTGGTTGTGTGTGGCTCTCTGATCCATTTTACTTTGAATTCCACAGGCGCTAAGGCATAAGCTGGATGTTGGGCCAGAGATTATATCCTTCCCTTGGCTCGTCTTGCCAGCAGCCATCTTTGAGATGGGTAGTTCTCAGCTTCGTGGTTACTGAAAGTTTAAAGATCCATCTCTTGTCTTTCTAGGCTTCATCCCGTGAAGCCAATGAACACAACAGCCACCAAGATTGCAAACCCTAGCTTGGGAACTGCTGCCATCATCAGTGAGAACCTGATCAACGAAGCCATAATAAAGGTACGTGATCTGAGGATTTTTGTGTGTTAGGATCTGCGGGAGCTTGCACATATAGAGGCACCATGACAGCTGGCCTCAGTCATTGCAACCTCACTGGGGACTGATGGGAGGAGGACTTGAGCTCATTTAGTTAGGAGACCAGCCTGGGCAAGATGGCCAGATGCTGTCTCAGAATAAGCAACAGCAAAAGTTAAAGGCCTTAGGCAGGCAGTTCTGGGAATTACGTATGCAGACCTCTGATGTGTTTGGAGTCTGGATAAACTCTGCGGGCCCCCAGACTTTTCTCTAAATGGATAATTACATTTGCTTACAGTTACTTATTTCTCACTGAATTCTTTCTTGTCTCTAGCCACACGATTATCACTGGCACTGTTGAGTATGGTGGTACTTTTTTGCTTATTCATTTTGTTATGTTTTTCTTAAAGACAAGGTTTCTGTAGCTCAGGTTGGCCTAGAACTCACTGTGTAGCTCAGGCTGCCCTAAACTCATGGCAGTCCTCATGACTCAGCCTCTTGAGTACTGGGATTGTGGGCAGGTGCCACCACCATGTTTTTTTTGTTTGTTTGTTTTTTGTTTCTTCAAGACAGGGTTTCTCTGGGTAGCCTTAGCTGTCCTGGAACTCACTCTGTAGACCAAGCTGTTCTTGAACTCACAGAGATCCACCTGCTTCTGCTTCCTGAGTGCTGTCATTAAAGGCGTGCCCCCCTACCACTGCCCGGCTCCTTTTCTGTTTTTTTGTTTTTTGTTTTTTTTTGGTTTTACGAGGCAGGGTTTCTCTGTTTTGTTTTGGAGGCTGTCGGTCCAGCCCGGCCTGGCTTCTTTTCTATCTTTAGGCAAGAGTGTAAAATTCTTGATAACAGATGTACCGAGTTTTATCACTGTACTTCAACATATTTTCCGATATTTAACAAAGTTGCAGAAATAGTACAAAGAGCGCCTGTGGGCCATCATCCGCATTGGTCAGTTCTTCACATCTGGCCCAGTTTGCTCTATCTCCTCCCGCCCCCCCCCCCCTCTTTCTCTGTGCACCACTGCATGCGTAGCTTTTGCTTTGCTTTCTAATCTGAACCACGGAAAAGTAACTTGTGTGCATCATGTCCTCTTTTACTTCTAATTTTCTTGGGTGTGAATCATATGTGCGTCTCCAGGTGTTTGTGTAGGTGTGTGCGCACGCGTGTAGGAGCCAGGAGTTTAAGTCTGCTGAAGTCCAATGTCTTCATCTATGGCTTTTCACCTTTCTTCTTTCTTTCTTTCTTTTTTTTTTTTTTTTTTTGGTTTTTCAAGATAGGGTTTCTCTGTAGCTTTGGAGGCTGCCCTGGAACTCACTTTGTAGACCAGGCTGGCCTCGAACTCACAGAGATCCGCCTGCCTCTGTCTCCCGAGTGCTGGGATTAAAGGCGTGTGCCACCAATGCTCGGCCAACCTTTTTTTCTTGTAAATCATTTTTTTCAAATAATATATTCTCATACATTTAATATAATATATCATGGTTTTCCCTCCCTCATCTCCTCCCAGATCCTTCCCACCCATTTAAATCCATGTCTTCTTTCTCCCTCTATATAAAACATACAGGCCAGTAAAAACAAAACTAAAACCAGAATAAAAAGAAAAAAGCATACACACAGACACAAAATCAAACCTATAAAAATACAAAATTGGAAACAATATGCAAGCAAAAGTTGAGTAAGGTTAAAAAAAAAATCCCCAAACAAAGCAATATGAGACACACACACACACACACACACACACACACACACACACACACACACACACAAATCTACAAAAATACCATTGAGTTCTTTTTGTGTTGGCCATCTATCTACTGCTGGGCATGGGGCTTGCCCTTAAGTGTGGTTTGTATACCCAGTGAGACAACCTTACAGAAACTAATTTTTCCTTTGCGATTGGTTATCAGTTGGGGATAGCTACTGATTAGGGATGGGGACTTAGGTCTACTTTTCTATCTCAGCACTGGGAGCCATCTGGCTTGAAGTTGTGCAGGCCCTGTGTGCCCTGCCACCGTCTCTGAGTTTATTATGTATATCGGTCCTGTTTTTTCTAGAAGGACTTGTTTCCTTGGTGTTCTCCATTCCCTCTTTCTGCCTCCTCTTCCACAGAGTTCCCTGAGCCCTGAGGGGAGAGATTTGACAGGGACATTCCACTTAGGACTGAGTGTTCTAAGATCTCTTAGTCTTCTGTATGTTGTCCAGTTGTGGGTCTCTTTCTTAGTTGCCATCTCCTGCAGGAGGAAGCTTCTCTGATGATTGCGGGGTGACATAGTTATCAATGGGTACAGCAGAATATGATTAGGAGTCATTGTGTTGCTATGTTCCTTTAGCAGTATTTGGTTTTCTCCTGGGTCCGTGGCCTATCTAGTCTAAGGTTCTTGGCTCCTGGAGCATTGTCAGTATGAGTTCCATCACCTGGAATGGCTTTTTAATCCCATCAGACAGGGATTGGTTATTCCCACAACTTCTGTGCCATTTTTTTTTTAAAGATGGGTCTCTTTACATTAGCTCTGGCTGGCCTGGAACTCACTATGTAGAGCAGGCTGGCTGGCCTCAAACTCAAGAGATCTACCTGCCTCTGCCTCCCAAGTGCTGGGATTAAAGATGTGTGCTATCACTCCTGGTTTTTATGCCTGTATTATACCAGGCAGACAGACCACCATTGTAGATTGAAGGATTTGTAGCTGGGTTGGTATTTTCTTTGTCCTCTGGTAGCATGTAGAGCAACTTCTAGTACCATGAACTCTAGTCTGTAGAGGGGAAGGCTCTAGTTAGGCATCAGTACAACTTTTCTGTGTTTATTGAGTTATATAGGTGTTATCTTTAGCAATAGTGCTTTACTATAAGCAATAGCCTGTATTTGGGGGTGTTTCTTTGCCCAATAATTAGATATAACTCATTTCTGGCACTTGGTGTCGAGAGATGTCTAGTTGAGGCTTTGTCTCCCTTGTTATTTGGTGACTCCATTTATTTCCTTCGTGTATGTATATATTTTAAGCTTATACTGTAGTAGGTTTCCCTATGACTCAAGGGGTCTTTAGTGGTAGTTATCTCTCCCTTAACTTCCTCTTCCTTCTCCTATCTATGTAACCTTCGCATTCCAATCTCCCCCATCCCCCATTCTCTGTAACTAGACATTCTATTTCCTCTCCCTTGGGAGATCCTCCCCTCCCTCCCAGCCCCTTATTGTATCTCTAACCTCTCTATATAGCCTGTGTAAAAGCTAATATCCACATATAAGATACTTACAGAATTTGCCTTTTTGAGTCTGGGTTACCTCACTCAGGATAATTTTTTCCTAGTGCCATCCATTTGCCTATTAATTTCATGATTTCAGTTTTTTAAACAGTTGAATAATATTCCATTGTATAAATGTGTCATGTGTTCTTTATCTTTTCATTCAATGATGGGCATCTAGGCTGTTTCCAATTTCTGGCTACTCTGAATAGTAAGGAATGGGCAAGTGTCTTGGGAGTAGGGTGTTGAGTCCTTTGTGGATATGCCCAAGAGTGGTATAGCTGGATCTTGAGGTCTATTCCAGCTTCCTGAGGAACTGCCGCACTGATTTCCAAAGTGGCTGTACAGCAGTGGAGGAGTGTTCCCCTTAGGGTGCATGCTCAATAGTCTGAGCTGTCATTTGTATTGTTGATTGTGTTCGTTCTGACTGGTCTAAGAGGAAGTCTCAAAGTCATTTTATTTCCATTTTCCTGATGACTAATGATGCTGAACATTTCTTTAAGTGTTGCTCAGCCATTGGTAGTTCATCTTCTGAGCTCATTTTTTAATTTAGTTGTTTTCTTTATGTCGTCTTTTTTTTTGTTCTTTTTTTGGGGGGTTCTAGACTGGGTTTCCCTGTATTATTTTTGGGGCTGTCCTAGAACTCGCTCTGTAGACCAGGCTGGCCTCAAACTCACAGAGATCCACCTGCCTCTGCCTCCCCAGTGCTGGGATTAAAGGCGTGAGCCACCACCGCCCAGCCTTTTTTTAGTTCTTTAGTATTTTAGATATTAACCCTCTGTTGGCTATGTAGCTGTTAAAGATCTTTCCTATCCTGTAACCTCTCACTTTGTCGGAATAGTGATTTCCTTTGTCATAAGAAGCTTTTCAGTTTCATCAGATCCCATTTATTTATTGTTGTTCTTAGTCCCTGTGCTATCAGGGTTGTGTTCAGAACAGCTTTTCCTGCCAGTGAGTTCAGAGCTAATCCCTACTTTCTCTTTTTTCAGATTCAGGGTGTCTAGCTTTATGTTGAGGTTCTGGATTCATTTGTAGCTGAGTTTTGTGCAAGGTGATGATAAGATGAATCTATAGTCTTCTACATGCAGACATCCAGTTTGATCAGCACCATTTGTTGAAGATGCTGGGTTTTGGGGTGTGTGTGTGTGTGTTTTCTGGCGTGTATTTCTGGCTTCTTTGTCAAAAACAGTTTAGGTGTGTGGATATTGGGTTTGGGTCTTGAATTTGATTCCAGTGATGAACATTTCTGTTTTTATGCCAATGCCATGGTGTTTCTGTTATTGTAGCTCTATAGTACAATTTGAGGTGAAGGTTGGTGATACCTCCAGCGGTTCTTTTATTATTCAGGGTTGTTTTAGATATCCTGGAATTTTTTTGTGTGTGTTGCCGTATAAAACTGATATTGCCCTTTCAGTTTTTGTGAAGGATTGTGTTGGGATTTTGATGAGAATTGCACTCAATCTGTAAATTATTTTTGGTAGAATGACCCTTTTCACTGTTAATCCTACCAGTCCATGAGCATGGGAGATCTTTCCATCCTCTGATGTCTTCTTTGGTTTCTTTCTTCGGTGTCTTGAAGTCACGCCTTTAATCTCAGCACTTGAGAGGCAGAGGCAGGTGGATCTCTGTGAGTTGGAGGCCTGCTCTGGTCTACAGAGCGTTCCAGGACAGCCTCCAAAACAATACAGAGAAACCCTGTCTTGAAAAACCAAAAAAAAAAAAAAAAATTAAGTTTTTATTATATAAGTGTTGAT